CACACACACACACACACACACACACACACACACACACACACACACACACACAGACTGTCGAGGACGTCATAATTGCTCTGTAATGTTCCTTTGACAGTTTTTAATCGTTGTTTGTGTCTGTTGGAGCTTCACAACATCCAGGTCACAGTATGGTTCAACCATTTAAGACGCAACAGATTTTATTGGTTTGCATGTGACTGGGTGGAGGAGGGAGGGAGGGAGGGAGGGAGGGAGGGAGGGGGAGACAATGACAAAATCCTGTGATGATTTGATTATTTTGTGCAGCAGAGCACCGAGGAGAGAGAGGGAGAGAGGGAGGGAGGCTTTGTATGAGGAAGGATGTTGATCTGTTTTTGAACCTGTTGTGTTTTTGCTTGTTGCCAGGACGATCATGGGCCCGCACGGCATCAACCGAGCCGTACAGAGGCTGGAGTTCTGCGACTGCAAGAAAGGACTCGGTAAGCATCTTCCTCCTGACCTCTCTGACCTCTGAGTCATCATCGTCATCATCATCATCATCATCATCATCATCATCATCATCATCATCATCATCATCATCCTCGGCGTCGTCTGACTCGTCTCTGAACTGCAGCTCAGCCTGTGCAAATGCAGGATCTTTCTGTCAGCAGTGTCAAAAGCATCAACGTTTTCCTGACTAACCTGAGTGTGTGTCCACAGGTGTGAAAATAATCGGAGGTTACCGAGAGCTGACGGGAGAGGAGTTTGGTATCTACATCAAGCGCGTGATAGCCGGTGGTTTGGCAGCCATGGACGGTAGGTAGTGTTTTTATATTTTGTCTTATACTGGGAGAAATACTCTGACAGTTGTTGTTATTAGTATTATTGTTATTATCCTCCCTCACCTGTCTGTCTGATTGTCACTCTCTGTTCCAGGTCGGCTTAAGTCAGGTGACCTGATTTTGGATGTCAATAACATCAGTCTGATAGGGGTGACCAATGACAGGTGAGTTTGACTGTGTGTGCTGTGTTTATCACTGTTGTTGTTGTTGTTATTATTATTTTCACATTTGATGCAGCTAGGAATGTAGTTTCCTCATGTTTTCAGAAGAAACATGTTGGACTCGTCCATCAGTTAACTTACCCAGTCCTCCATGTATATATACATATATATATATACATATATATATATGGAAGCCGAGAAATACATACAAATATTTTTTATCCCGTCATGTCAGGATAACAAAGCTCATTATCCTGAGATAACGAGATATTATCAGGAACAATTTCGACTGAACCTCATACACTCAGTCGCAGTTATACTCCTCCTTAATAAGAATCCTTAGTAACTTGTTAGCTGACGAGGACTGATCTGAAAACGATCTTGTATGAAAAGACACACTTGCCAGGCTTTGATGATGATGGCAAGAACAGCATTCATGTAGTTGTTAGGGGTGGGAATGATTAATCGATGATCAATAATTGATCCTTAAGGATTTTGTCGATCACGCTGAAACAGATCGATCTAACGTGTGTATCAACGATGTTGTCAACAGTTGTTGTCAACAGAGAAAAATGAATACTCAGCTGCCGCAGGCATCGCAGGTAAAGATGAAGAGCTCAGAGCCTCGGGCTCCGCTGCCATTAGGAGCGCCGCATTTTCTTTTTTGTTCTGTTTAATAGTTAAACAGTTAAACTTTAACTGCCGTGTTAAGGAGGATTGTTGTTGGACTATAATCTCTTCTTGGAATAAAGATTTCATTGAGGACAAAGACGCTTTCTTCAGTATTTTCTGCCATAGGCATTTTAATATGAAAAGTTTATAATGATAATTAATTGTTCATTTTCCCGATGATCGATCAAGGAAATTTCTTCAAGTGCCCATCCCTAGTAGTTATTGTTGTTAGCTGGGGAGCACACGGGACACAAATGTGCTGCTCTAATGGCGAGGTTGTCCCAAACTTCAGGGCCCTTCAAACTTACCCCACCTCAAACTAACGAGCTTTGTTATCTTGAGATGACGGGATAAAAAAATATTTGCGAGTATGGCCTTTCTCGACTTCCGTACACGTCACAGATGCTAATGGTCCTCTTTCCTGATAGGGCGGTGGAGATCTTGAGGACGGCCTCACTCTCTAATCACATGTCCCTGCTCATCGCCAGGGACGATGAATCCAGGTAAAGAAATGCACTGCCTTTATTGTGAAATAATCACCTACTTCCTTTAACTCAGGACGTTCAAAGTCTATTATTTTCTTGCATGGCCTATAAAACACTTCTCTGGGTTCAGCTGAACTGTAACTGTCCTTGTGTTGTGTTGTGGTCTTTGTGCTGACATGTGTCTCTGTCGGTGTCCCCGTCATGTAATGAGGTCGAGCGAGGACGCACCTTGCTGTCAGGTGATCGTGATCTGTGTCCTGCAGAGCCACTGATGTCATTTTGTTCTGACTCATCTAAAATTAGTGTGAACACAGTCGGGACATGGAGCTCCAGACACACTCCGTGGTTCTGCTCTTCATCACAAAAACATCATGGACTTTTGGTTTCCATGGAGACCAGTGAGACAGTCATTTCCAGAGGAGTTTTGAGGTGAAAAAAAAAAAAACAGCAATAACTCAAGGTGTAAGACCTGAAAGTGACACAAATTTTTCAGTTTGACATCATGTGCTGCTTCACATTTTCCACACAGTTTAATCCAGGTGATAATCTGCCTGAGCTCGTACCTGTCCTCACTTCAGTGTGGTGGCTGTGTTCGCTCTGCCCAATTTCGCCGCCTCATCTCGAGGCTCCTGCTGCTTTCATGTTGGGTAATCCTCTCTGAAAGATGCCTGAGATCCTGAAAGCCTGTTCCTGGCCAGGTACCATCCCCTCTCCAGTAACACACAGCAAAGCAACAAAGCTCCTTCTTTCACAAGCAGTCAGCCATTTTTTTTTTTTTTTTTTCCTGGAGAACTCCACGTTAAATCTGATTATTTTTTACCAGAGGTTTGGTTAATAACAATCTTGTGCAGCTGGAGTTTAATCTGCAGTTTCTCTTCAAAAGGCAGACTTTGTGATTTCTGCTATAAAAGATAATCCACCACAGCTGCTCTTCTTTACAAGAAATACTAACTTCTGACTAGGGCTGCTCAATTATGGTGAAAATCATAATCAGGATTATTTTTGATCAATGTTGAGATCAAGATTATTTACAACATGATTACTCTTTCACTTTGGAAACACCACACATTTATTGAACTTTAAATAAGAAACTGTTTTTAACAGTGGACTTTCTTGAACTTTAGATACAATTCAGCGAAAAAAAAATGAATTAAATGAATAAAGATAAATAAATAAAATAATAGATAATATATAATATCTAATTATGTACAGTTAAATATACAATATAAAAATGAATAAAGGTGAATTAGATCAAAACAAATAATATCAACTATGTTGTAACATTAGTGTACTACTGAAAACTACAAAAAATATATTCAGCGTGTAAAAATAATAAAAATAAATTGGACCAAAATAAATTTGTGAATTTTTTTTTTTTTTTTGTCGCATGTCGCCCTAATCCTCTTCCGCAGCGATGCACCGACATACTGAGAAATACTAAAACATATATTCAACATTTTACTGAACTATATTCAACATTTTCCGCTCAGTAACTCCAAGGAAATTAAAGTCCCTACTCATGATGACACACTCCTACGTACGTTAACGTACGCTGAAACGTAACCAGGAAATGGATGGGGTGATGGTTTTGGCAGGGGGGATGAAATTTGTTGTGAAACAGAATGTGGCACAATAATCATTTTATCTCGATAGAAATTGACATGAATCAAGGTAATTTGAGAATAATTAAAAGGAAGAATGAAGATGGAAACTCCTTTTGTTACCACCTGCTGACGTTTTTAGAGACAGACGAGCGACGTGTCTTATGATCTGAAGCTTTGACCGCCCACAGAAGTGAAGCATGTCAGTACTTTGATCTGTCCTTGGTGTAAACCCGACAGGCAGCGTCCCGAGATTCCCCAGCAGGAGGTAAACCGACCTGGCACTCTGCTGTCCCCTGTGCTTTTCCACGTCAGCCTGCCGCGTTGAGACAAACGCAGCCTGACACAATAGGGACATTCTGCTGTCTGTCCAGGGGGTCTCGGCTCAGGAGGACAGAGCTCCAGCTGAGCCGAGACGCAGAGCAACACGGGGCTCAGCAGAAACAGCGGCAGGCGGCTGCACAGACTGCGGTCGTTTCCTCTGATTTAAAGTCCCGGTTGTGGTTTTACCAACATGAAGTCTGTGTCCCGACCATCAGATAGACCTGGTCCTATCAGGTCCTCATATTCTGACCTCACATCCTGCCTCCAATCAGTGTTTGACGCGCTTCATTAACATCTAGTATCTCCTGAAAAGGTCAAAATTAGAAAACTGAGAGCTAATTATTTTGTTTTCTTTCTATTCTTTGCTATAAAGCGTGTTTGATAACACTGCTCGTATTTGAGATGATAAACCCGTCACCATTTTACCAAAATTTGTTTTTTTTTCCACCAGTTTTTTCTGCTTTTTTGCAACTTTAACGTCATACGTCACAAACTTAAGAAAACCAATCCTGTCAACTTGTAGGGATGGAGGGCGGGGCTAAATAAACCTGAAACCTTGTCGGTAGAGAGAGAGAAAGAGTTAGCATTAGCACCACCGCTAACACTAGATGTGTCCCACTTCTGGGGCCGCATCCTTCGGAGGATATGGTCTACGAAGACGCGGCCCTTCGTAGACCGCAAAGGCCGAACCTAAATAAGATGGTCTGGTCCACCGAGGTTTTTCGCTGTGTGTCACCAGCTGTTCCTGAACTTGTGCAGCTTCTGTCACCTAGCAACCTTGACAATACATAACTTTTTTTCACTGAAATTTGAGGTTTTAAGGCCCTTGGTTTTAACAGTTGTACTGTTAGCTGTTAAATTGAGCTGAAACTCAATACTTACATTTAACAGTGTTATCCTCAGGCTCTCTGTCTGTGTTGTTTGCTGTCAGTACTGGCGTGCAATGAATCTTGGGATACACAGGGCCATGTTGCCCAGGAAAATAATGGAAGACACAGCTACTGGACCTTTAACTGCTGGCGGGGATGAAGGGGTAAGCAGAGGGAACCCAGAGTGTGGTGCTCAGGGTGGAGGCACGTCTTGATGAGAAGAAAGAGAAGAAGAAAGAGAGATGATAATGAGTTTGTCCCCGAGGTTAGAGGTGGTGTTTGGAGGGAAAGTGATTAAGTGAGGGACAGAAGGTGATTTGAGGTGCAGCCTCAGATTACAGGGGCTGATGGGAAAGGACCATGTTGTTGTGACTGCAGAGGAAAGGTCGTCCCACCTCTGGCAGAGAGAGAAGTCATTTCATTTTTATTATTACGAAACCAAATCAGCAGGGAGAGAGAGAGTGTGTGTGTGTGTGTGTGTGTGTGTGTGTGTGTGTGTGTGTGTGTGTGTGTGTGTGTGTGGGTATTTGTATGTATGTGTGTGTGCGTGAAAGCAGCTTTGCAGCGACACGTCAGATATATCTCGTCTCGGAGCTCGACCTCGATTGTTGCAGTGATTTGTTTTGTTTCACACTTAAAACAAATTATGATTATTATCTGCAGCTGGCCCCCGAGCGGTACAGCGGGTCACAGTGAGGACGCCATGATGCAATCACACAGCGGGGGGCGGGGGGGGGGATTTCGTTCTGCTGTCCTCACAGGTTCAATGGATAAAAACAGAAAAAAACAAACGTGGACTCTTAAGCTTATTGATGGAGTTTCGGTGAGTCCAGGAGGCTGAATTGGATCGAGGCTGGAAGATTATGTGGTTTTTAAGCTGCTGTCCAGACGTGAAAAGTCGAGTTTGGTGAATTCTCAGGGGTAGTTCAGGGACAGTCAGGACAGATCAGATCACTGATCAGCAGCTTGTTATTAATTTCATCAACAAAGTAATTACTAATAATATTCATAGACGAAAAAAAATAATAAGTAACAACATGACCTTTATGACCCAACTAGTGGTAAACATCTAATTAAAGCAAAGCTGCTTTTTAATATTTTGTTCAACCAACACTTTAGTTTCCTGGTTCAGTTTCACAGAGATGCCTCAGACTGCTCTGTAGTGTTGCTCCATAGATCAGTCTAATGTTAGTCACACTGACTCGTTATAAGGCAAACACATTAGACACCTTTCCCCCTGACTATCTCAGGACTGAGACCAATGTTACCATGGTAACAATCAATGACACCTGTGCTGACCAGTAGCACCCAACAACAAAAAAACAGGAAAACATGGCTCATAATTAGTTTTTTTTACTAACATTGTTATGGAGAGAACAAAGACAAGGGAAAGACTTTTTAGGGACCAAATCAGATTTTACTTTTTATTGTTCCTTCGCTGAATTTCCAAAGTAAAACGTCCTTGTCACTGTTGAATTCTTCCAGACAAACATTTTCTGCAAAGGTAAACAGAGCTCTTTAGTCTTAATTTACCCAGAGTTCATTGTACTGCAGTCCGGCTTAAGAAGAGAACTAACTGCTTTGTGCAAGAGATGAATTTAGACTCAGTCTATCTGAAGTCTGACTGTTTGTTAGATCCAAGCCGCAGTCAGAGTGTGTCTTTGTGAAACCGGCCCCTGGTATTAGAAACTCATCAGATGCTCCAGTGACTGTAGACTGTTGGTGCTGTCACACCAGACCTGTTTGGTTCTGTCTGGCTGAACTCTGGTGTGTTTGCTGCTTTAGTTTTTGTCAGTGTCAGCTGGTGGGGAAGCTGGACCCAAACCACCTGAAAAAAAGGAAGATCTGGATCTGTCTCCAAGTGGACTTTTGTGGTCTGAAAGCAAAGCAAACCAACCACAGGACAGTCTGAGAGTAAATATTAGTCATTATTCAGTAATAGTGAATAGTACAATATTTCCTGCCATATGTGCCATTTTTCGTAATATCGGAAGAAGAAATTGCAGAGAAGTTTGGGTTTATCTTCAGTTGTACCAAGTCCAACTCTCATTTCACTGTATTGCATTGCACAGTATGTGCATGTGACAAATAAAACTATGAAATGCTGTTTAGTGGCAGCATCGCTTACACTTGAAACATTAAATAAGATAATATAATTATGTGTTATGTAAAACACACACAACTGAAACACACCGAAAACACAACTGACACATAAAAAACAACATTACTTCTTAATGTGTTGGTGAGGCAGAGGTCAGCACTGCAGCAGTCTGCAGGTCTGTCAGTGATCAACCAATCACTTTATTTGTCCTCAGTGGGGCAGTTGGGTATGCAGCAGTGAGATATATTATACAATGAGCACTCATAAAAATAAATAAACATAACACTCAGAGCAAAGGATAAAGAGACAATAAGTGAATAAAAACAGAACAGAACACTTTATTAGTAGATAATATCTACCTTTTCCTCTTAGGAGGGGGGTGGTTGAGGGTCGGGTGATGTTGGTTTATGAACTTCATGGATGGTTGTGGTTGACTGTGGTTTAATGAGATAAACTGTGTTTTCAGAGGCATAATATGAAATAGTGTTTTGACTCTTTAATTGAGGTTAAAGCTGCTCGTGTTTTAAACGAGACTCTGCTGTGATGACAAAGGTCAGACAGGTGATCAGTGTGTGGAACCTCTGATCGCTGGATGTGTTGTCTTTACCCCAGAGCTGATCCCGTTTAAAAGGCATTAACAGCCAATCCGATCAAATCCCGATCAGACAGCGACGGTATGAGTGACCTCAGGTTTCCTCTGTGTCCATGTGAGGGAGACAAACCCTCACAGATCTGCCTGCTCTCCTCAGACCACAAACAGAGGCAACACACCAGACCAAGTCCTGCACTCAGAGTAAACATCGGTGAAATGTACTCGTCATCCAAAATACAAGAACTTACAATGAAGAATTCTTGTATATCCAGTTTTGTGGATTTTCATGTTTTCAGATCAGTTTAAGAATAAAAGAGAGGAAACAAGGAAACACAGAGAGATGTAAAAAAACACAAGATTTCATGTGTCTCCAACCATCAGATAATTTGACTTGGAGTCTTGGAGTAATGGAAATTTGTTATTGTTATTTTAACTTTTTTTTTTGTGTCCTTCAGGAGGGAGTTTGCTGAGTTGATGGAGAAGTATGGTTCCAATAATTACACAGCTTCAGGACGAATCTCTCCCACTCAGCTCTCCACAGGTAAAACCTTCAGTCACACTCAGACATTAACAGAACCTCACCTGTGAGGACATTCACCTGAGCTGTCTCCTGACCTGACCCAGATTCTGACCTTAACGCTAACACCCAGTCTAAGCTCTCAAACAGACCTTTAAAGAGGACAGGACCAGAAGAGATGTCCTCACTTTCTAACAATGTCTTTGTTTCCAAAAAGATTTCCAGGCTTTCCAAAAAAGTTCATAATTTTCCGAAACATGTCATCACTGTACAACAATATCCTAATTTTCCAAAGATGGCCACACTTTGCAAAAATGTCCTCACCTTTTGAAAATGTCTCTGTTTCCAAAAAAATTCCAGACTTCTCCAAAAATTGTTTACTTCCCTCAAATGTTCTTTCATTCAAAAATTGTCCTCACCTTGAAAAAAATCCCTGACTTTTCCAAACATGTCATCATTTTCCAGCAATGGCCTAATTTTCCAAAGATGTCCTCACCTTGAAAAAATGTCCTCTCTTTCCCAACATGCTTTCAACTTGGAAAAAAATGTCTGACCTTCCAACACGAAATGTTAAAACCATTTTATTCTCTCTGTCTGTGCCTCAGTAATAAATCCTCGATTATTACTGATTGATGATTACTAATGAACCAAACTGATCTGATTGGACCTGTGTAACTCCATCACTATCTTTGTCCTATCCTCCCCCCACTCTCCTCCTCCCTCCCACTCTATTTCTCCCTCCCTCTTTCTTCTCTCTCACCCACCTCTCTTCTTCTTCTTCTTCTTCTTCTTCTTCTTCTCTGTATTCTGTTTAGGGAAGCTGACAGACACCGCCTCCTCCTCCTCCTCCTCCAGATCGGAAAGCCCCCAGCTCCTCAGTCCTAAAGAGGGGGTCACCGCATACACCCACGCCCCTCCTTACACTGCCAACCCCCCCTACGCCGTGCACGCGCCCACGCACGCCTTCAGGTGAGCATCAAACAGCGGCAGCGGATTTCCTCTTGGTCATTTTGGATTCAGGAGCACGCCATGAGTGTCCCACTACAATAATTAGTGTTTTGTAGTGTTGTCAATAAATAATTAATCAATCAATTAGTTGAAACTGTTTTTAAATTAAATTAAACTCAAAGTAAGCTAACAATAGGACAAAGAATATTAAATTTCATGAAATGCACCAGTTAATAATTCAGTTTCCTGCTGTCTTTAAATGATGAATTAACTGAAGTTTAAAATTAACTTCTATAATTCATCACAATTTAATTGAACTTTCTTTCATATTCCCTGATCCCTTCAATTTACGGACAGCTGTTTTATTTCAAGGTGTGTACAAAGGTAACAGTGTGCAGCCTGTGGAAATTAAAAAATTTAAAAACAACTATATATGTATATATATATATATATATGTATATATATATAATGTTGCTCATAAAGTTGGAATAAAATATTTTTTACCTCTTTCCATGAAATGATTGTGACAATGTGATTTATTTCATTTCACCTGGGTAATTGGGACACATAATGTCACCTGGTCAAAAGTGATTACTAATGCATTTAAATAGGAATAAACAGAGGATTGTGTCTGAAAACAAAATTATTCCAACTTAATGGGCAGAAATATATATAGCAGAAATACAAATTTTCAGTGATTTAAATATACATTCAGATATATATTCATAGAACAAGTAGACATGTTTATATAAACAGTGATGGGGTGTAAAATAGAATTATTAATTAGGAAATCTAATTATTTTTTATTTATTTCTTACTATGAGGTCTCTAATGCATAATTCAAATGCAAATTTTTATAAGCTTTTTGAAATAAGTATTAATATAAGTATTAGTATAAGTATTAATATATTATAATGAAACATTTTAAACATTTGTAATAGGGAAAGATCCTAAATCTGTTGCAGCCCCGTCAGGAAAAAAGACATTTAATAAGTATATATTAAAAGCACTGATTGAACTACTGTTTTAATTTGTGACACTCTATTATAAAGCTTCATGTTAGAGTGAAAAAGTTAAATCTAACTTTTATCCTGCATAAAACATGAGTATACAACATTCCTGGATGCTTCCATACTGTTGCACAAACACAAAAAATTACATTAAATTAAAAACAGGGAACAGATGAAATTGTTTGAAGCTGGTTACATAAACTGTCTGATTTAGCAGGATGGAAACACCAGCGATGACTAAAAATAGTGGAAAGCATCTTCAGCATTTTCACAGAGTGTAGGAAGACCAGAGAGAGAGGAAGAAGAGGAGGATGAGGTAGAGGAGGAGGAGGGGGTGGAGATTATGTGGTGGTGGGATTGACCGTGAGCGGCAGCGTGGCTCTCTGGTTTTTAATCATGCTTAGTGTCATCCTAACTCTCTCTCTCACTCTCTCCTCTCAGTGACAGTGTCATTCAGTTGATATGTGTTGCCAAGGGAACAGGCCTGGGGCTCGTCATCAAGGGGGGAGCCAACCGTGCCGAAGGACCAATGGTGTTCATTCAGGAAATAGTGCCTGGAGGAGACTGCCAGAAGGTCAGGGTCCTCACTGTGGTCGTTTGGTTTTCGTGACCGGTGCATTGTGTCCGTCTGACAAAGTTAGAGCCACTTTACTTTCCATTGTTCCATTTTATTCAATGAAAACAAAATTTAACAAATTGAAAGTGGTCTTAAAACCATTCAAAGAAAAAAACACTGTTAGAGCAAAATGTCATTCATGCTTAAAATTGGACAATATTAAAAGCATTATGACAATAGTTAGATTTAACTCAGGCTAATTCAGGATTATGAAACTGTTTTTGCAGCTTAACATGTAAATGTTATTATCATACCTCATAATAAACACCTGCTTTGCTGGAAAGAGTAAAATCCATACTATAGTCCATTTAGTAGCTGCTCTGGATCTTCTTCTGCAGAGTTTTCCCAGTTATTGTGGAATTATAGATTCAAACTTCCATATTTCTAAATGCTTCCATGTGAGTGTACCTTAAAAACTCTCATAGCTAGCTCTATGCTACAAGCTGCTGAACCGCTACAATGTGCAAAGCGAAGACCACATGACCGACAAATCCTAGCTTGGTAAATCCCTGGCCATCAATATTTTAAAGCAATTTGTCGTTGTACCCCTAATCTGCAAAAGGAGAAAATACTTCAAAATTAAGGCATTGTGCAAAATTTGCTATACTTCAAAATAAATGTTTTTTTGTGAAGTTGACCCATTTGCCCAGAATCCACCCAGAGGGGACCCACAGCTAGGAAACACTATACTAGTTGATTATGTAAATTTTTGTTTTGGCTTTTCTTGAAAAATGTAGAACTTCCTGTGTTGTAGTTGGTGTGCTTGTTTCACAGCTAAATCCAACCTGTGGTGTTCCCCAAGGCTCCACCCTCGGTCTGCTTTAGTTTCTGTTTACCTGCTTCCACAACAGTGTACCTTTTGCAAACACTAAATTTGCTACTGCCGCTATACAGATGACACACTGATTTATGTTAAAACCTAAAAATAGGTTGCATTGTTTAATATTTAATCTGTCAAATAAGATGTATTGAAAGTCTGCCCAAATCCAACATTTTTATTTACTCAACAGAACACTTTCAGCTTTTTGTCGTCCAGCATCAGGCAAAACCCATCAAAACTCTGGTCTCTCCTATCTCTACCTGCTTTTATTACATTGCTGTAATTTCATATGCTTTGGGTTGAAGCTAAATCCTAACTCAACCTTTATAACATAACAGGATGTACAGAAAAATGTTGAAACTGAAGGTGTTGTACCCAAATGTGCTTTTTTTCCTGCTTTCCCAGTGGCTCATTTGGCTCATTTGAAGACCAGGATGTAAATGTTTCTGTGTATTTGTGTTGGCAGGATGGCAGGCTGCAGGTCGGAGACCAGCTGGTGTCCATTAACAAAGAGTCCCTTATCGGAGTGACGTATGAGGAGGCCAGGAGCATCCTGACACGCACTAAACTCAGGTCCAGCACACCTGGCACCTGGATACTTTTTCAAGGACATAAATTATTCAACAGACAACATATAGCACAACAAGGAAACAAGAACAGAAGAGTTTAGCTCCAGAATAAGATGCCACTAGAATAAACATGATGAGAGATGATTGTAAAAATGCAATGTCATTGTAACCCTAACCCAAGCATCCATAGATTTGAAGTAAATACAAGTAAATAATAATAGAAATGTAAAGTTGTAAAGTTGTAAAGTTTTCTTTTCCTTTTTCATCGCCTTCTGTGTTGTATATGTATTTATGACAGAAAGGATTAACAGGAAGTGTGTTTTTTATTTAACAAAAAAAAAAAAAATTATGTTTAATAATTCTACATTTATCACTTTATAAAAAGTACTTCTTTGTTTGTTCGTTTGTTTTAGACCAGACCCTACGGTGGAAATTGCCTTCATCAGGCGGAGGTCATCCTCCAGCTCCAGCAGCGGGCCTCACAGTCCTATCTCCCTCCAGGGGTCTGGAGTTGGAGGCGGACCCCAGACGAGGCCCCCTGGACTGGGCACCGCACCTCCACAGCCGGCCGTGGTCACCAAGATCACCTCCAGCCCACACCCCGCCAGTGAAACCCTGCCAGCAGTCAACGTCAGCCAGGTTTGCTTTGAGCTAGATGGTAACGATGACAATGCTAGTGTTACGCCCATAAAGTTCAGTACTCAAGGGGTGACATACTGAGTGTCTGTGAGGATAAACAACAAAGGCACCATGGGTGAGCTGGTCTTCATTTGATTTACTTAAAAAACCTTAGCTGCCAACTAAATCAATAAAACCATCACAATAATCACATTGATCACAATATAAAACTGACAAAATTATGCTGTTTCAAAAATACAATAAAACTATTTGCCAGATATTTACAATGTTAATTCTATATCAATTTACTATTTACAACAATAAACTTTCCCTATATAAACAATTACCTTATTCCCCTTTATATATTAAATCACAAAATTAAATCTGTGGTTGCCTAGCAATGGTAAACTGTGCTGTGCTGTTAATCAAGTTAGAAAATAACAAATTAACAAAACAATTTGGATTTAAATGACAAAATATACGCAATATAAAACACAAAACACTGTAACATTAACTTTTACACACATATATCTACCAGAGGGGCTGAGCAAACTTCACCTCTCATTTGCTTCTGTTTAAAACACTAAAGGACACATGAACATACTCTGATCAAACCTTATTAATATGTTGTGTTAATGTGTGTCTGTTAATATTTGCAGGTGCGAGTGTCTCCAGTCAGAACAGAGCAGACACATGTCTCCTCCCCGCCAGAGAGTGACAGTGTCCCTGATGCCAACCCTGGTATGTAACTATGTTAATACTAATACTAATTAAAATCAGAATACTAATTATATGTACATCTACAGTGTGTATGTATCTATATGTATGTCTCTATATATGTCCAACGAGATGAGGTCATTAAAACAGCTCAAATGATGGAAAACGATAAGGAATACATTCTGAAAAATCTGACATTTCTGTTTGTGTCATGTGTTAATGTGAGGAAGGTTACAGCCTCCTCCTCATCACTCCACACACGTGGAATATTTTCTGACCTTTTTTTTATATTTCACCTTTAGTTTTTTTTTTTTTTAAATTTCTGGTGTTTCCAGTCACATTTTTTTAGCACAAATTTAAAATACACAGGTGGATGGAAACACATGCAAGCAAGCATCTTCAAAAATCACCACTGGATTTTATTTGAAACTCAATTTTTGTTCTCTATTAGCCATTGATAACACAAAGTACTAGCAGTAATAGACCCCAACACTCACAGCTTCAGTACTGACCAATCACAGCCCATTTGGACACCGAGGGAGGGAATGGATAAGGAAGTATACCCCTATCTACAGTATTTATATTTGCTTCCATGCTTTTCTATGTCAGGATATCACAGTGTAACAAGACCATATTCACACGGTGGCTATTTTCACCTTATGTCATGCTCAGGGTGGGAAGTGTTGTACTGCTGTGTTCTAACATTGACATTTACGTTCATTACAAACTTCACGTTTGCTAGCCTAGCAATAGCTTACAGTGTTTCCAGTGTGGGCTGCTCTTTACCTTCAACATCTGGCAAATTCATCTGCCCATTTATCAGTGTAGTCAAAGGAATGTGAAGTAAACAAGTCAAGCTTTTCAACCATCTCACTGTTCTCTCGCAGGATTTATTCAGAGACATTAAAGTGTTCAACGCTTCCCATCATTAGCGTGATGTCAGAGGAAAATGAGAATGTGAATATGGTCTATACAAGGAGAATGGGGTTTGGGACACACATGCCTGCACACTGCTGTAAACTGTGAGGTGTAAATGAAAGTGATGGAGACAGGCGAGGGAGACAGATGGTGTGTGGTTGGCTGCCTATCGCAGGAGGAAGTGAGACAGGTGGGAGGTCTGGCCCAGGATTGGCTGAAGAGGTGAAGCATCAATGCTGTCTCTGTGTGCGTGAGGGATGCTGAGGTCTCTCTCCATATGTGTGTGTGTTGTTGTGTTTGTCGTCAGACTGAGATGTGTTTCCATAACAGATGGAGGATGTTGAGGCGTTTCCCGCTCTGGATACAGAGTCTGTTTTCTGCAGCGAGGCTGGAAACGATGGTGACATTTGACAAAGCATTTACACTGATTCCTGCACTGTCAGTTTAGAATCTGAGTGGAATATTTGTGTGTTTGAGAGAGAGAGTGATTTACGGATGAAAGAATTTAGACATGTGGGTTCAGACTGGGCTGATTTTGGCTGAAAGGGTCAGACTAAGGTTGTTCTTGTTATGTTATGAGACATATTGTTTTCAGGTTTTCTGTCCGTCTGACCCATTTTCATGGACGCGATATCTCAGTCTTAACGGAGCTTCTTAAATTTGGCACGAACATACACTAGTTCTCTGGGATAAACTGATTTGGTTTTGGTGGTCAAAGGTCAAAGGTCAAGGTCACGGTGACCTCACAAAACATGGTTTTGCTCTTGTGAACGCAATATCTCCATAACACCTTGAGTAAACTTCCTCAAAATTGGTACAGTTGGACTCAAGGATGAACTGATTCGATTTTGGTTGCCAAAGGTCAAAGGTCAAGATCATGGTTACCTCATAAAACATGATTATGGCCTTGTGAACGCAGTATATCAAGAACTCCTCAAGGGAATCCTTTCAAATGTGGTAGAAACATTCACTTGGACTCAAGGACAAACTGATTAGATTTTGGTGGCTAAAGGTCAAAAGTCAAGGTCAGTGTGACCTCACAAAACTCTTTTTAGCCACTACTCAAGACTTCACATGGCAATTATGACAAATGGTTACATGACAACCACAAGGAGGTGATTCTACTGTTAGTGTACAATCACTGGCTCCTCCATCACACACTTAGTCAGTTGCTGACAGTAAATGTCCAATCATATGTATACAGCTGTTCACTGCGGCTATTATAACTCCACACTGACAGATTAGACTCAACAACATGAGCATCAGCAGCTCAGTCTGCATTTTCACTCATAACTGCACCAGGTATAAAACTATATTTATGACTGTGTTGATGTGACGTTTTACAGTGAAACACTGTTAACTGAGCTGAGTTTAAAAGATGCACATCTCCATGTGTGTTTGTGTGTGTGTGTGTGTGTGTGTGTGTGTGTGTGTGTGTGTGTGTGTGTGTGTGTGTGTGTTGCAGAGCCTGGCAGCAGTCAGCCTCCTCAGAGGAAGTGCTCCCTCAGTGCTAGCTGTCGCCTCAAACTGGAGAGGTTGGAGCAGGTTTGTGTTTGTTGTTGTGATATTTTCAGATTTGTTTGTCATTTAAATAAAGAGCCAAAGTCCTGACCCACAACCAGGTGAACTTCTGTCACACCACAGCTTCATACCACCTGTTTGTTCTGCTGTTTCTGCAGTTTATACTCACCAAGACGTGTCTTTGCATCCTGGACAAATTCATGTCTCTCCATTGACTTTGTGTTTATTCATAGAAGCTCTAAAATTCACCATTAAATGGCTTCTTTCTTTCTGACAAACAGAAACATCCTCCTGGAGTTTTCTGTCCATATAAGTGTTAAATTTAAGTGATTGATGGGTTCACAAAATATGATCAAAAACTAGTTTAGATCATTAATTAAAGGTCCATATAGTATAAAGGTAGATGTCCATGTGTTGGTTGATTATAAAGCAGGTCTAGGTTCTATATTAATACTGTGAGATTATCAAAGCCTCAGTCCACAGAGAAATGCACACAGCCTGTATTCAGAAACTGAGCCTTAAAACCAGCCGGACCTCTGTAACTTTGTGATGTCACAACAAAGCAGACACAAAGCTCTGCCCACCTGGACCCATGATCCAACCTTGCAGGATTTGGTTTCTCTGAGTGTTTACCTGAAATCTGTTGTTTTTTGTCAGATCACTCAGAAAACAGTCAGTCAATCAGAAGAGAGGATCAGAGCCTCCTCTCTTTTTTTTTCTAGTTTTGAAAAATATTTTGACTCTTTCACTGTTTTCATGCATTTTTTTTGTTTATAGATTAAAAAATTATTGAATTAACTTTTTTGGCCAATAATGTTCACACAGTCACTTAATGACAATTTTTTCTTTTATAAAAAATGTACTTTTTTTTCAATTAAGTCATAAATATCTGATCCTCAAACAGATAAAACAAGAATGATGTCATCATGTATCTATAAAAACCTTGTAAATTAGATTCAACTTCAAGCCACAGACAGGCTTCAGTGGCTTTTTTGTCAGTTTAAAACCATGTATCTCCATGTCAGGTATTTCTTATGTTTTCAGTGCTGCTTTTTGAAGTGAGGATGAAACATTTCTTCACCTCTTTTACAAAGCAGATCCTGAAAATCTGGAGACACAGGGTTTTCATTTGACAGGGACGTGTGTGGTTGTATGTCGATGTTTGTTTCACTGACAGCTATGTGTGTATTGATCTGTGTGTGTGTGTGTGTGTGTGTGTGCAGGCTCTGGATCTGGTTGGTCTGAAGCCCACAGAAACTCAGCGGCAGGCGCTTAGGTCCAGACTACGAGCTGATCCAGCGGGGACGGTGGCCTTCACAGGTAAGAGAGCAAAACCTTCGCCCTCACACTCACCTGTGCTACACCTGCTCAGGTTAAACTAGGCATCATCTTCATCATTAATGCAGTTTTAAATCAGCCTCTTCCTCTGTTTAACCTCCCTGTCCCAGCAGTCCTCTGACCCATATCTGTTACAAAACATTTTGAGAAGGCCGCAGTGCATGGCACATTTGTCTCTATAAAAGGCTGAAATACATGTAACACTGTTCTGTTGCCTCAGATTTGATGTAGTTCAGCAAGTTCAATAACATCAGTTTCGACTCGTTGTTATTCACTCTGGGGCAGAGTCCTTCATCCGTGGAGCCACGTGTTCAGTATGTTGTTCAGTTGTGGAGCTCATTGAATTTGTGTGTATTTTTTAAGAAATTAAAAACATTAACTTAACTTAACTTTGTCTTTCAAACCTTAAATGATGTATTTTTCAACTTCCATAGAGCTCATATTAACTGTAGCTTAAACTCTCATCTCTCATAGTCATAGATTTGTAATTGTCATGTAGAATTTACATGAACTATTCTTTTAGCGTAATTATCCATAAAATGAAGTTCTGTATCCAGCTGTACATGTGTGTGTTTCCAGACTTTGAGAGCCTGATCAGGGAGCTGTTCAAGCCTCAGCTGGAGGAGTTGGCCGTCGGCCAGCCGGGGTCGAGGTTCACATCTGATGACCTGTCCAGTTTGTTGGAGTCGCCCACCAACCCACTGGTAGGAGCCTAGTTTAGAGTTTAGCTCCTGGTGGGGTGGGGGTAAGGTTGAGGGGGAAGTACCAGACAAAGACAGTGGAGCAGGGAGGATGGTGTCCAGCAAAGAGGAAGGTTCTTTCATTTATACATACATATATATAATATATATATATACATATGATTTTCTGCAGGGGGGAAAGTGACTCAGTGATTCCTTCAGCAGGTGTAAGAATACAGTATTTCTGATGTTCACATTAGTTTTCATACTGCTCCTAATATTCATACTTTTACTTTTACTGTAGCTCTGCTGAAAACTAAGTCAGGTTTTGGCTTTTTTGTATTTATGTTTTTATTTCTCAAGAAAGACACAAAGAAAAAATCTGATTCAAGATACAGACAGGACCAGATTCAACACGTGGAGTTAAAACACCATGAGTCTCATCAGATCCCTTTCGTTGTCACGTTTGGTCAGTTAGCTGGTGTTGTGTTGGTCCTGGTCCTGGTTCTGGTCCTGGTCCTGGTCCTGGTCCTCGCCTGGTCCTGGTCCTGGACCTGGACCTGGCCTGGTCCTGGTCCTGGTCCTGGCCTGGTCCTGGTCCTGACCGCTGAGCTCAGAGTGGAATGGACATGGATTTTGATCTGTGGAGGTCAGATCTGTCCTTTCAGCGGGGTGTAAAGATTTTCTGTAGAGCTGGAGTCACACAGTGTCAGAGCAGAGATCAATGAGAGCAGCTGATCACAGTGTCACATCATGTGTTTAAAGAGAGAAGCTCCAAAATCTGAAACAAGACACAACAGGGAATAAAATAAATAACAACTTTAATTTTTTTTTTTTTTAATGTGTGCAGCCGTCACTGTCAGACTCTGAGGACCTAGAGGAGATGGAGAGACTGAGGAAAGAGCACATCGAGGCTCTGAGGGAGATCAAGAGGCTGCAGGTAACACACATACACGCACGCACGCACGCGCACACACACACACACACACACACACACACACACACACACACACACACACAGCTGTGGTTTGATGGTCACTTGTTTCCTGTTGATTTCCTCTGGTCTTCAGGAGCAGCTGGTTGAGTCTCAGCGGGTTCACCATCAGATGGAGGAGGAGCTCAGTAAAGTCAAACAGGTGAGTCACACCTGCTACAGGTACACGGTACCAGTACCAGTACCAGTTCCTCTCACCTGTCTGGTGTCTATTTTAGAATAATAACACATGAACCAGCGGTTCCTTGTGTTTGTAATGACATTTTACCACATATAATAACTGGTCACATTTACATTATCTGCACTTTATCATTAGTAATTTAAAATCGGTATTTCTGTATTCAAAACTCAGCAGCTCATGACAGCTCACAGCTGCTGGTCGTCGTAGTAACACAGCCTCGGAGGCTCAGCCGTCACTGACTCTGACTAAAACTAAAAATATGAACTTTTCTTTATATTACTGTGAAAAAAACAGATTTTAATGACAATGTGCCTTTATGAGTATATGGTAAAATATGTGAAATTATACAACAGTTCCTACCAAGTAATTTGATTGGACGAGAGTCATTGCATGAGTGCTGATAAACAACAGCACTGGGACTTGTAACTACATGAATCACTCTGCTTCTCAGGTGTTCTATTAACCATTAATCAGCGTTACATTAACGTTATCTCTCTTAGATTGTAACAAACTTTGCAAAGATGAAAATGTATTTCCAGAAATAACATTTGAATTTAATGACGTGTGGTCGTCAGAAGAGGATGAAGGAAGAAGCCTGGATACTTCAGCTCACACCTGAGGTAATGAGTAGACAAAGTAGCAAGCTAGTGTGCACTGTGCAGGTCAGGAAAATGTTTATGTGTTGCTTAGCAACAGTCTAGTACCAGTCCAGTTGCGGAACTATTTGTTTTGGTGTAACCAAATACATGATAAAATAAACAAACAAATCATAATCTGTTGTTGTATTTAACTAATGTGGGGCTTGTAGAACTGTTGTATAAAAGCAATATCACACTATCTCACTCCAGGCCTGCGGCCTCGTACCTTTGACCGAATCACAGCCGTGCTGATATTCAGTACAACATCACAGCTCGTGTGACATTGCTTACTTAAACTGCAGTTTATTCACTAGATTAAGTTTTGTTAAAACTAACAAATAGAGATAAGAAGAGAAAATGAACATAACACAAAGGTTTTCTATCAGAGCATCCATCAAGTGTAATTCATGTTGTCAGGACAGTGAGTCTGTGGCTGTTCTGTTGTATTTCTATAGTTGGTTTCATCTGGTGGGAGAGTGTGTGTGTGTGTGTGTGTGTGTGTGTGTGTGTGTGTGTGTGTGTGGGTGTGTGTGTGTGTGTGTGTGTGAGTGGGCTTCTGAAGGGGTGCTTCTTTTAAAATATATCAGCAGGTCGAGCTCTGTGTGTGTGTAGGTGTGTGTGTGTGTGGGAGGAGTGTGAGGCCACTATTGAATCTTTTTTTAGGTAGTGGAGTTTGTTTGTTGTGAATCACAGCTGAAGGGTCTCAGCCTCTCCAGCTCCCACTCTCCTGACTCTCTACTTTTACTCTGTTGCGTAAACCAATCGATATCGACCTCCAGACGCAGCTCACAGAGGAATGGCAATAACAAAGGCTCGGCCCGGGACGTTTCCATTCTGTGGCTTGAATCTGAGGATTTGGTGCAAAGCTGTTCGCTGTGGAGTCAGTCTTATTTTGCTTTCATGTACTTCCTGCTCTTATTATCATTTCCTGAAGCGAGAGTCAAAGCCTATAATACACCTATCCTCCTTAGTACTTGTTCAAACTGTTGAATTTTACCTAATGTAGTTTGGTTCTAGTGTCGCCAAGTACAGACCCCCCACTGGGTCAGGATTAGGTTCTCTAAAACCTGGATCTCTAAACTGAATCTTCAGGTACAACCTCCAAGAAGGAAACTCCCTGGTTGAACTGTTCACAGCTCAAAGACACATACAACCAGTGTTAATTTTGTTAATGAAAACTATGACGAAAAGTTTGATTTTTTTTTATCCATGAATAAAAACTGAAACATAAAGTGAAAAAATTTACAAATGAAGTAATTTATGTTTTAGTTCATCAGCCTGCCTGAATCTGGCATAGACTATAGATGAAAATGGACGTAGCCTCTGTGACGTCACCCACAGGTTTCTGAAGAAGCTCAGAGTGAGCGGTTCCACCGTTGCCATCTTTGCAGTGTCTGACTCCACCCCTAACTCCCAGCTAATCCAAAAATGAGGACAAGTGTGGAGCTTATAGTTCTTATGTTTCATGTTTCGGCCTCAGAGGTTGATGCTTGGTGAAACAGTTTCTTCCAGCAGCCAATAATCAGTCTGACCTGTTGCTCTGCTGTTAATAAGAATAGTTTTACATTCAGTAACTTTCTTATTGACTAAAACTAGCAAAAATCAAATCAAAGTTTGACTAAAACTAAAATAAATTTTTGTATATAACTAAATCAAATGAACAGCAGTGAAGAAGGGTCTTGAAGCTTTAAGTGAAGTTTAGACAATAAACAATTAAAAACATGCAGACGTGTTTCCCTTTTAGCTCTAAATCAGACAGTTTTCAGACTGAAATCTTTGTCTAGTTTCTGCCACAAGGCAAAGACGTCCAGTTAAAGAGGATAAGAAACATGGTTCTGTCTTTGTCTCTTGTCTCTCAGCTCTGAGACAGACCAGTGTCACGACTAACAAAAGTTATTTGGGATCAGTGACTTGTAACCACTGAGCAGAGAGATTACAGCTTTCTGCCTGTCTGGTTCAATGCTCTCTCTGGCGTCGAGTCAGTTCAGTCAGTTCTTCAGCCGCTGCATATTTAATGAGTCTGTGCAGACGAGTTAATCTGACAACCTTTAATCTGCTGAGAGGGATTTCTCCAAGCTGCAGTAGCTCCCTAATACCTGCTCCAGGTAGATTCTCATGATGGCTAATGATTCAGAGGATGAACCTCAAATATAACATCTGTGATGAGAGAGAGAGAGAGAGAGAGAGAGACAGACAGAGAGAGAGAGAGCGAGATAAAGAGAGAGAGAGCAGAAGAGAGAAAGAGCAAGATTAAGAGAGAGGAAAAGAGAGAGAGAAGTGAACATTGAACATCATTCACTGAAAACATCCAAGGAGTCAGTGTGTGTGTGTGTGTGTGTGTGTGTGTGTGTGTGTGTGTGTGTGTGTGTGCGTGTGTGCTGCCTACTGCTCGTCTCTGACTCATCTTCAGCTACAACAGCTTCTTCTTATTTCTGTCTGTGGTAAAATCAAACCTGCTGTTAAATGACTGTGTCTGTTTGGACTCACGACAAAGTCGACCACAACCAGACAGAACAGAGACGAGCAGGTTCATGTCAACATGAAGGTGTTTAACTCCCATGTTAAACTGTCCAACACTACAGCAGAAATAAACATGTTTACAGCCTGGTACAAAAACAGTTTTGGTCTCTAGAGTTAATTTCTTCCTTCATGACAACTGTTTATATAACTCACCTGTTTACATTTTATTAAGGCTTAAAGTTATGGAGAATTGAGGGCGTGGCCTCTTTGAGTGATAGGTGGGTGAGTGTATAAACTGAAATCTCAGCTCCACATACATCCCTTCTCTTTGATCATATTTGGATTAGCTGGGAGTCAGGGGCGGAGTCAGACACTGCCTAGATGGCGACGGTGGAACAGTTCACTCTTAGCTTCTTCAGAAACCTGTGGGTGACATCACAGAGGCTGTGATCTATGTCCATCTTTATTTACAGTCTCCAACATATGACAACTATGTGGGCAGAAATATGTAACAACGCATCACTGTTCCAAACCAGCAAAGTAGCAGCTAGCAGCCATTAGCTAGCAAAAGCACAAAGCAATGTCCTCCTCCACTAGTCCTGTGTCCAGATCCTGTTCTGGACAGTAGTACTACTGACCACAGCTTAAAAAAAAGTAGCTGCATAAGTCAGCATTCGTCTTTTCTGTCCCTAGTCATCATAGATGGCTTCTTCTTCTGCAATGAAAAGCTTCACCTTCAGATCTTCGTCTTCTGTCTTCTTTGCTGTAGTTTGTTGGGTTTTTTTTGGACCTGCACGAACAAGAGGAGGATGAGACGTGAGCTGTGAATGTGGAAACTGGAGACATATTAATACCAGGTGCAAATGTGACCAGGTTAAAGCCATATCTGGATATGAGACGCATTTTAACACCAGGCGTAAACGGAGTCTTGGTCAACATCATCTCGTCAGTGTTTGGGATGTGTTGCAATCTGAGTTCCTGATCCGGCTCACCTCTTTGTAAAACCAGACTACGACTGTCTTCAGAAACACTTTGATGCTTTTAGTCGGAGGCAGCTGAGGTCCGACTCGTGGCCCTGAATAACCTGAAGTGCATTTAATATTCTCTCCTCTGCGGGTGGCATTTTACCAGTGCCATCAAGGCTTTCAGTGAAATCAGTAGCTTAGAGATGGAGACGTTGGGTTTTTATTACATAACAGCTGCCACAGATGAAAATGACAGAGATCAGGAGGAGAAAGAGAGCATGATGTTCAGGAACAGGACCAGACGCTGCTCTTTTCTTGTGTTAGTCTGTACAGCTCCTGCACAGCCAGGCAGTTTTCTTCCATTATGTTTCCTTCTCTGGGGGGGGGGGGGGGGGCGACACATGCAGCCTCATTAGAGCTGGAGGTCAGGCTTCAAGACGGGGGGGGGGGCTCTCAGGGCCCCTCAGACCCCCCCAAGGCCACAGCTGGACATACGACGGCTCATGCTGGGATCCATTAGTTACCCAACCACATGAGCCTGGCCACACACACACACACACACACACATACAGATGTCTCACTACAGCTATAAGGACACTCTTTGACATAACATACTCTCTAACCCTAACCTAAACCTGATTCTAACTTGAACCTGATTCTAACCTGAAACCTAAAACCAGGTCTTGACCCTCTGTCCTTCTGAAGGTCTGTCTGTCACATCTGTGTGGTTTCAAACTGAGATTAAATCATCCATGAAACCTCATTTTAACACTGACTGTGTCCCAGTTCCACACTGTCTACTCACACACACACACACACACACACACACACACACACACACACACACACACACACACTCCCACACCATGTACTAGTAATGACTGTGCTTAGACATTAATGTACTCTCCTGTTTCCTGTGGTGCTCTAACACCAGTGTCAGAGCTCCAGCAGTTTTAAGTGAACAATTTCATCATCTACTGACTCAGTCAGTTTCCACTAGTAGAAAGTGAATTAAAGAGCCAATAATTCTGGCTCTAGATCAAGTCTTTTTAAAGCAGCGATCTGTAGGTTTCTGTTATTGCTACATAGCTAACATTAGCATTAGCAGCTTACCAGCCTAGAAGAAACGTGAGTTCAGCATCAACCTTCATTCCTTTCCTTACCAACATCTGAAAACAAACACTAATGTTAACTCTTGTGTCTATCACATCTTTTCTTCTACTGAAGTTAGCACGCTAACCAGTTAGCCCCGACCTGTTTGGTCACTTTCTGATAGCTACTCTCTACAGCCCCCAGTCTGCCCTAAAGACGTATTGCTGCTCAGAGGACGTACTATAAACTCTTGTACTATAAAGACAATGATGGCTGAAGCTGTCGTCAGCAGACCATCACCACCACCTGCTTCCAGCAAGAAACCATGTTCAGCAGCAGAGAAAACTTACAAATAGTCCCTTTAACAGATGGATAGATAGATAGATAGATAGATAGATAGATAGATAGATAGATAGATTCTGCTGAAGCCTTGCTAAGCTAAGCTAAGCTAAACTAGCAAGTCAAACAGAGACACTTTGGGTTGTGTCAGTAAAATGCGAGCTGCTACAGTTTTATAAATTCGGGATGGATTTCATGGTTTGGGAGCGTCGGGCAAACTGACACGGCCTTATTGAGAATCCAGGTATTACTGGCAATCGAAGAACTCAGATCTTATAGTTCATTAAAACCATTAGTCATTGGTAGAACCATTACTTAATCCTGAATTCAAAATTTATCTTTGGTAAATGTGTTCTCAATATATAATTACATTTACTTAAAGTTTTTAAAGGTGAAGCTCATTCAGTTAGTTATTGACACTCTGGGCTTCCTTAGATAAACACACACACACACACACACACACACACACACACACACACACACACACACACACACACACACACACATACACACACACACATACATACACTTGGAGTGGGAGCAGTCCATCTGTCTTCACTACGTGCCATTCTAAAATTGTGTGTGTGTGTGTGTGTGTGTGTGTGTGTGTGTGTGTGTGTGTGTGTGTGTGTGTGTGTGTGTGTGTGTTAGTTCTCACTACATATGACAGCACCACAGGAGGAGAGCCAAGGCTGCCAAAGTCACTCCTGTCCGTTTCCCCTTCTGCTATGTGTGTGTGTGTGCATGTGTGTGTGTGTGTGTGTGTGTGTTTCCACCAGAGCTGCACAGTCCTCTAAATTTGCTATTTTAGACAAATGGACATTTTTCAGTTCTCATAGTAACAGACAGTCATTGTTAATTTTAGGAGAACATGTGTCACAAACCGACGGAGCAGGGGATCATGGGTATCAGTAGGTGTCATTTGGAGCTGTTCACCAGACCAAACCAAACTAGTTACCATAACATAAACCTGTAATTATGTATGTATTTCTGTTCTATTTATTCCACACTGAATGAGAAGCCTTTAACATAATTTATGGCAGTGTATTAACTTATATGGAAGTTTATTGTTTAAAGCAAGATATCAACTTATCATGTTGTAACAAGAAAAGTGTTTTAATGAGATACATTGTGAAATAATGAGATAAAGTGATCCTGTATATTGCAACAAATATTTCTTGTAGTAGTTAAATAATTTGTCATGTAGTAATAATAAGAAAATATGTCATAATTAGATGAAAAACATTAGATTAGATTTGGATTTTGTAAATAATTTCTGTTATTGCAGCAATGCTGAAAATTTAACATCTGCATGACTCCATCTGCTAAAGAAGATCATTCGACATGATTGAAAACTCGCTAATAAATGGACCTTATGGTCAGATTGTTATCTCCAAAAACTGAGATTTGAACCTCAAACTAAACTTGTACATATGTTGCAGTTGCACACAATAAAATATTGGTTTGAAATTAGTAATTTTAAGTCAGAAATGACTGAATTCAGGGAAAAATAAATGAGTAGATTAAGTGCAAAAATGTATTTAAACTTATTTGATTTCTCCCGTAGATACAATACATGGCCAAAAGTATGCACACACCCTGACACTCCCTCCACACAGTCTGAGAGATTGACATTGACATCATGGTCATTATCCTGCTGCTCTAACAGCCTCCAGTCTCCTGGTTTCAGTCTTCCTCCAGATGTTGAACCTGCTGCCTGCCTTTACAGCATCAGTGAGGTCCGACACAGATGTTGGTAATGAGGTAGGATCAGGTCCAGTTCATTTAATGGGGTTGAGGTCAGGGCTCTGTGCAGACCAGACCTAAAACATTGTTTTATTCTGCAGCATTAAGATTTGTCTTCATTGGAAATAAGGGGCCTGAACCAGGAATAGTAAAGTATGTGGACTGGGTTTGAGGAGTTGTAGTGACCCTGTAAACTGTTAAGTAACAGCACTAATACTGTAAGTGTTGTGTCAGCGTCTGTGTCTTCACTGGTAATAATGCTGAGTTATTCTTCTTCAGCGTCCGGTTGTATGAGGCAGCGTAACAAAACTCCTGACTCTTTGTGGTTGTAAAGCCTCGTTATCTTTTCCTGCCTCTGAGGATCATTTTACTGTCAGCGCTGCAGGAGCTCCAGTGTTTATTTCAGTGCTGGGGGGGGGGCTAGGAGTGGTTGCTTCCCTGTCAAGAGGGGTTACGGTATCTAATTGTTGCGGGTGTCTGTTTCACCGCCCTGAGAGTTATGCAACTTCCACACTGAAGCTGGTTTTCCCTCCAGGCCTCACACACTCACTGAAGATAAGCTGGAGCTTTGATGGAGTCAGAGTTGACCAAAGACCCAACACTTCCTTAAATGTGATTAAAAAGTGATTACAATTCACAAATTAAACATTACATGTATGTGAAAAAAACGCCATATTATTTTAAGTTATGTTACCAGAGTCAGAAACAGGTTTCAAGGAGGAAGGAATTTGCTTTCATGTTGTTCTGCAATAAAAGAAAAACAACAAGTAATAGGAAATACAAGTATCACAGAACTCAAGTAAACATAAATATGATATTGAATTTTACAATAAAAATATGTAAAAAATTATATCTATTATTATATATATATTAAATTGAAAATACCTTTATCGTGTTTAAAAAGAAGAAATGAAATGACCACAATATGACTAAAGACTAAAGAAAAGATTAATGTTAACGCAAATTAAAATGAATTATTAGTTCTTTACAACGCTGAAGTTATATTTATTCCATTATAAGGCTTCCTATTTTATGCATGACTTGACATACAGAATAGTCTAAATGAAGCCGAGGTAAAATAACAGAGGCACCAACATGATAAAAATATGTTTTTAGTCATTTTTGTCTTGTTTTTCATGCACTGCTGTTGTAACATAAGCAAAATACAGCTTGTCATGGTGGAGCGGGAATTTGACCAGATGTTACTCCACCCACACCCCACGCTGTCCACTGCTTGTTGTTCCTGTTCAATCATTGACTAAATATCAACAGAAAATTCATTTACAACAATTTTTATAATTATGAGTTTATAATGAGTCATTTATAAAACAGAAATGTCAAATATTCTCTGTTTGTAGCTTCACTAATGAGAGGATTTTCTTTTCTTTCACTTGATGAAGTTTTTCCACCATTTTCGCGATTAGAAGATAATGATAATGAAAATAAATGTTAGTTAGAGTCCTGATAGGAGATATAAAGTACAAAGATACAGTAGATGTAACAGGAAACAAAGACTCTACCCATCCTGTAGCGTCTAGTTAGTATGTTTATCATCACTCTGACAGACTGTGGCCTGTAGAGGTGAAAACAAACAATGGAAGCAAATTCCAAGAGAAGAGCAATGACCTGCCAACAAGCAACGATTGTTTAATGTTTTACAGGAACATTACTCATATTGCCCTGTGACAGTTTAACACTAGATAAAATGTTTCTCAAGATATCAGAGTGTTCGTCTTATGGATGACTGTGTCAATCTGTTCAGACATTCATGATCCCCAGAGGATGAACGCTACAGACGTTAGTGATCCTCTGAGGATGATATCTGTGGTTTTGAGTGAAACATCTGAACAACTGTTGAATGGATTATGGTGAAATGTGGTTCAGAGATTCTTCTTCCACTGAGGATGAATTGTAATAACTCTGGTGGAGTTTCCCTCTGGTTCCATCTTCAGGTCAGGACATCATCATCATCAGGACTTTGGTTCATGACTAAATACCTGCAGAACTATTGACATTCCAATCAGCCTCAGATGTATTTTGTGTTTGATGCTAACATGCTAAACTAAGATGGTGGACATGGTAAACGTTTGTGATTGTGGAGGGATTTTCTTGTATGGACGTATTCAGTCATTAGATTTTGAGAAAATGAAGAATTGGTGATAAAAATAACATTTATAACACAAATTAGTCATTTTAGGAGTAAGTTTTTAGTCATATTCTCTTGTTTTGTTCAGGAATGAATGAAAAAACAGGTTCACGTTGTTTCTCAAGTCCTTTCTTGGTCTCCAGGTAGATGCTACTCTCTGGATGTTGGTAACCTTATCAAAGGTAGAAATATTCTGAGAGGTGACAGGTCCAGGTGAGTCCTGCTGATTCAGTCAAACGTCAATGAGGCCAAAAGCAAAGAGCATCACACTAAATCACCCTGACACCAAGAATTCAGCATCAGGACTCCAGCACCTGGAAAGAGTTATGAAAGTTAAGAGGGTCTGAGCAGGCACTGAATGCATCACCGAGGCCCTGCTGTTCATTTGTTGAGCTCTGACGGTAAATCTGTCTTCTTCTTCTCCTCCTCTGTCCTTCCTCTTTCCCCCATTCCTCTCGGCAGGAAGTAAAACTGGGAGCAGAGGAGAGTCGGGCTCTGAGGACTCGGATCCAGCTGGCCGAGGCGGCCCAGAAGCAGGCCAGGGGGATGGAGATGGACTACGAGGAGGTGATTCACCTGCTGGAGGCCGAGATCGCTGAGTTGAAGACTCAGAGGGTGGAGCAACCAGCGCAGACCAATAAGGTGACTGATATGACTGGCAGGTGGAGTCAGATACACTGATTGGTCAGAACCAAAGTCCAAGTCGACTGTGTTCAGTCTTTGTCTTCGGTTCGTTTCAGTTCATGAGACAATCGTCACTGCAGGAACAACCAAGTGTTGGTTCAGACAAGCTCCAGATGATCCATGTCTACATGCCCCCTCTGGTGGTCAGACAAGAAAGAGTCAGCAGGTTTCAAGCAAATGAATAAAGTTTTGTGAAAATACAATGTTAATCACTGCAGGTTTGTCTATATATAATTAAACGGATTTGACAAGAAGACAAAACTCTGACGTCTTAACTCTGATACATCATGGAATTTCTTCTTCTACATTTGTGTTATTTTAAATGAATGGATGGAAACGTCTTCACTAGTGAAGTGAAAACGTTATGAAGACATGAAGACAAAACATCTAAAAGTGGATTATCATGACGGTAATGACAGTAATAATAAAAGCTGGTGGTCTACGACAACACCAGGTGTAAACACAAAGGCAAGATCGCATCATTTATTATATGGACTGACATGGCATCTTAACACCAGGTGAACAAGATAATGATACAGATAAAACGTTAAGTAAATTGAATATTTCTCTCTGCATGTTTTACCTTGTGAGATATGGAAAAGTCACAAGAAGCTAGATTAATATATTTAATAATATAACACCTTCCGTGTTATCTTCCTGATGATCTCCCAACAACCCTCTCCGACTCCAATCCCCCGCCCTGGCCCCTCCAACCCCCCGCCCTGGCCCCTCCTCCATCAGCAGCAGCAGTGAATCTGGGTCAGTGTCTTATTGAATGACAGAGCCGCCTCCCTCTCTTACGCTGCCATTCTCCAACAGGTTATTTTTATAGTAATCTGGCTAGCAACCTGCAGGTCAGCTGCGACAGGCTCGAGGGAACGGTGAAGTGATGGCGAGCGGCGAGCTGAGTTTGAGTCCACACTGCAGGGCTGAGATTTTATAAATGAGCCCATAGTGAGCCCACATGTATCTGCACTGTTAAGCCTCATGTCTCATTAGTTACTGAGCTTTATTTGTTTTTTCCATCAGTCACAAGCAATTAACCAGCTTCAGCATGTTAATGGTCAAAATGTTTCAATTGGCAGATCATATAATGGGAGATCACGTGATCATATCAAATGACCAGATTCATATTCTAAGGCCTTGGCAGTGTTGTTTATCTTGACATTCTGTCAGCAGCCACAAAAGGAGCCTTATTGTAAAGTTTAAAACACATCATTATTTATTAATGAGTTACTACAAGGCTCATTTTACCAGTTATAAAGGTAGTAACTCATTATTAAGATTAATGAGTAGTAATAATGCCAAATAGTGAGCCTGCATCAATCTATGAAAACTGTTACAACTATAAGGGTCTTCTTATTGCAGTCATGTATCTAGTATAATTTGACCCACAGAGACACAGTCATTGGTTGCACACTGTTGAAGAAGGCTGTTCCTTGTTCTTTTTGATCGTAGCAGGAGGAGATGGAGGAGCTGAAGAAGAGGGTGGCTGTCCTGGAGTGTCAGCTACGGAAGAGCGAAGCTGCCAAAAAGGGCTTTGAGATGTCAACAGGAAAACTGCTGAGTTTTGTCGAGGTAAACTGACAAAGCAGAGGAACTTTTATTCTGTAAACTGTCAACAAACCGAACACTGAAGGTGTCCTGCTAACAACGACTGTAACAGATGTGACTCCTCTGAGACACAGAGCTCCACTGTTTCAAAAAACTATTCAAACACATCAGTGTTTCATCCTGCTGCCGCAAATACTCACTATAGCAGCAATCGAGGATTAATAAGCCGCTGAAAATATTCCTCAACAGATGTAGAAAACCTTTAGTCACATTTTATTTGTTTCTTTTCTCTGTTTCTGCAGAACGTTCAAGAGTTTCTGCTCGAAAGTCACGGACCAACCAAGAGTTACAGGTGTGTGTGTGTGTGATTAATTTACAACCTGCTGTTCATTAGCGACACGGCGGCTATGCTAATGAGTAGAATTGGTTAATGCAAGCTGCTAAACTGGTTGCTGTTGGCAACAACCAGCTCTTTATGTCATGTGTTTTATAACTGTATATGTGTTTATATGTGTGTGTGTGTGTGTGTGTGTGTGTGTGTGTGTGTGTGTGTGTGTGTGTGTGTGTGATCATTTATGTGTCTTTACCTGAATGTAAATTATACTGTACATTTATACAAACACAACCCATACAGAAATGTAATATATGACATACTGTATATGTCCCTTTATGAAGAGTGATATAGATTTCACCTATAAGGTGATATATTATTATCACATATATACATTCTCTGTATATATGAAGATATAAATTTATAACATATATGAAATGCCCATGGTACATTTTGTAAATGTACATATATAAAAAATATGAATATGATTAAAATAATTATGTGTTAACATATGTTGACATTATATATTTAATTTATTTATGGAAGTTTATTAAAACAACATACATGTTAAGAACTCTATATGTTTATATATATTTAACATGTCTAAATTAAAGTTATTAATTAAATAATTAATTTTAATAATAATTCTTAATTTCTAATAGGTTCCAAAAAATTTTTTTAAATTTATATTTATATTTTATATCTATGTATACATATATTCATATATGTAACTTCATTATACGTACATATATTACATTTGCATATAGGACATTTTAGCGACTCGTGGTTTTCCACCCGTAACCCCGTTTCTATCTCTGTGGAAGTGAGGAGGGGGTCAAAGAACCCCCCCACCCCCCCACCCTGACCCTCTGCAGCGGGATTTCTGCACCTCTGGCACCTGACGGTTGTGGACAAACCATTCCAGACCATGGTCCAGACTGGGAGTTTCTCTCTGAGCTCTTCACTGAGCCTCATAGGGGTCAGACCTTCCGGTCTCTAACACCATGAGCTATTTGGATATGTGATCCTCATTTCCTTGAACCTTTGGATGTTTACTTTGGGTCCTGGATCAAATCCAGAATCACAAAACTGTCCTTTAACTCCGTGAGCCATCTCACTCTCTTCCTTGTAGCCTCTTAGTCTTTCCTCCGGGTGCAGGTCCTCCTGAGGATTAAAACCCTAAACACGTCTGACAGGTCCTGTTCCCCTGGTGCTGATCCTTTGCCCACATGACCAAAGGTGGTCTCAGCTTCTCATTTGGACCAAACCCAAAGGGTCTGAAGCTCCGAGACCCGACACCTTAGTCAGAGTCACATAATGAGGGATCCTGCAGAGAGTAGAGCCCATTAGCCCTGCTTGACAGACACACACACACACACACACACACACACACACTCGGTGGTCCAGCTTAGCCCACTTCAACCCAGGTGGGACAGCAGTTAGCTCCTGTTAATGCCTGCCCGCAGCGCGCAGCAGCAAGGCAACAGCGTTATGAAACGTCTCAGAGAGAGTGCGAGGTCGGCGTGTGTGCTCACACAGATGGCGACATCATCATCAAATTATGTGATCAACAATGACACCACTGAAGAAGAAAAGAGAGTATGTGTTCTGAGCTTCAGTTTCATGAACAATCAGTCGTCAGTGAGCCTCTCTTCTTCCTCTTCTTTATTTACATTTCTTCCCTCTCTCCTCCATCTAACCTTATCTTTCCTAAGTTTTTCCCTTTTTTTCCTTTTTCTTTGCTTAGTTCCTTCCTTATTTCCTTGCCTTCTTTTTTCTTTATTCCTTCCTTCTTGCCTTCCATATATCTTTCCTTTCCTTCTTTTTCCTCCTTCCCTCAGTTTTTGTTTATTTCTTTTCTCCTTTCTTTCCTTTTCTCTTTCCTCCTATGTTTCCTTCATTCCTCGTATGGTTCCTTTTTTCTTCTGTCCTTAAGTTATTCCCTTACTACATATTCTATCTTTCTTTCTATGCCTCCTTCCATCCTTCTTTCCCTCTTGTCTTGTCTTCTAAGGACAAAGAAAGGAAGGAGGAAAGGTAGGAAAACCTTCCTTCCTTTCCTTTCTTTGTCCTTAGTTTTTCTTTCAACTGATCTGGAAATGAGATCTTCACTCATCTGGATATTTGAAAGTTGTTAAATTAACCTTTATTAATAACTAATAAATCAGGACTTGTGTTTGTAATGAATTTCTCATGTGGATTGGAGCCTGTGTTGTCTCCTCATCTCTGTTTTGTTCTGATCCTTGTGGTCGGTAACGTGGAGTTATCAGCACCTTCAGGCCAGTTGTGTAAGTCTGATTCTGTAAATCAGGTCAATCGCTCATGTTATTAAGTCACCCAGCGATGACACCTCCTGCCAGGCCTCCTTTTATTCCAGTTCAGGTCAGTGGGACACCTCCAATCGTGTTTCATAACGGTGGGACCCCTGGTCATGTTGTGTGTTTTTCTTCACCTGTCCATGTGCATCTAGGCCACTCGTAAGCTGAAAAATGGGCCGGGGGGTTCACTGGGGGTCGCAGGCAGGAGGTATTTTTCCTCTTTGTCAGAAATAAATGGCTCTTTGCTGCCAATTCACTCCCAGGAGATGACGTATTTCATGACTCTTAATATTACTCTCATTAAACCCAATAATAAACCGATGATAAAAGAAGAGGTTAAGAGGAAAGAAAGTTTCCCTTAGGTAAGGATGGGCAGGAAATTTCATTGTGGCAGTGATAAGCTTTGTTCATCCTGTGTGTGTTTAGAAATGACTGTGTTTCCTCTGGTGACATGGTCGTTTCAGCAGCTTAACAAAGTGTTTTTAACTCACTTGATAGTTTATTCATCAGGCTGTGGCAAACCGATGAGTGTTATTTAAAGCTCTCGCTGCAGAGAGTGTTGGGTCCTCCAAACCACTAAACTGTCAGGAGAGGCTCTCCTGGTGACTGTAATTAAAATGATGAATTTATTTCCGCAGCAAAATTGGTTTGAAAAGGCAAAAGGCATAACAAGTTATTCAAATGGAGAAAGTTTAAAACATGGAAGTTAAACAGAGTTTGGGGCACACACATACTTCAGGGAACAAACTGAAGGTAAAAGTCAGACAGAAGATCCACATTCTACTGAAAGCTCCTAGAAGTTAATTTAACAAAGATCTTCATCAGGCATCATCAGATCTTGTTTTAAATGAGACACACCTTTTTTATGCAGATGATCCAACAATATACCTGTCAACAGGAAACAATGTGCGACTTTAATTCTGTCTTAAACTGAGAAAAGCAGTGGTCCAGTGGGTTAGGTACAAAAACTACTTGATTCAGTCTTAAATAAAGAAAAGGTTGTGGTTTGGGTTAAAATCAGCACGACCTTTGTCATCATGGGAACAATAAAAAAACTAGAATCACCTCCTCCTGCTTCCTCCACTCAGACTAGTTTCAGGTTGCAGCGCTGTTTATCCAGAGTCATATAATATATTAATCATTTGTGTGAAATTTTTTCATATCTGTTGTTTGAAGTCTTGAGTAATGGCTAAAAAGTGTTCTGTGAGGTCACACAGACCAAAATCTAATCAGTTTGTTCTTGAGTCTAGGTGAATGTTTGTGCAAAGATTTTAAGAAGTTCTTTCAAGGTGTTACTGAGGTTTCCTGTCCACGAGAAGAGACAGACAGACAACCTGAAAATAATATGGCGTCCGGCTCTGACTGCTGCCGGCACAGAGGAATAAAAATGAGCAGGCCACACCCATGAGGGCGTGGTAATCATGTAGGTCTACTCTGTCTCTGCTGACTCATCCTTCTCTCTTCTTGCAGCTCTGGAGATGTTAAAGTCGGGGCATCGTCTCAAGGCCTCCCCTCTCGCTACAAGAAGAATCCGTGGACGGCGGCTACGCTGGCCCAGGAGGCGAAGGACCTCACACGGACTGTCAGAGCCATTCTGGAGGTCGACTGTAAGTGATCGCCTCCACGCATGCAGGTCCGCATGTCCTCCACCTCTTCCTCCTGCTCCTCCTCCTCCTCCTCTCTGTCTCTGTGCTGCCCTGCATGCGACTCCCACCGGATGAAGCTAAAAACCAAACTGCTCCTGCCAACCTGCCGTTGTGAGTGACTGTCCTCCCCGTTTCAGTGCTGACCTTCTAGAGGACCCGACTGTTGGAGAACAAAGTCGGCGAGGCTCTGAGACGTCAGCAGGAGCTCAACAGCCAACCATGAATTCTCTTCCCTGACAACTCCTCATCTCCTCAGTACCTGCTAGCAACGGACTCATGTCTTATCTCTGCATGAAACACTGTTTTGTTTCTGTGAAGCATTTATCACTGCACATCTGCTGAATAGTCACTGAACTGTGGCTTTGTTCCGGTGTTTTCACCTGCGTACGTCAATGTACAAGTTTAAACATGGAAGCTGTTTGTCACTTTGTCAGTTTATCTCACGAGAAACGTTTATGCAGGTTGATACACTGGAAGGAGACCGCTGTAATGTTGGGTTAGGACTACCTGAACGTTTAACAGTTTGGTCCATTCAGCCTTGTAATCATGTGATGAGAAAAACAGAGTAACATCATCAGGTCCACCTGCTGAACCTTCAAAGAAATTACAGCAAGAATTGATCGTCCAGGACTCAATGATCAGTTTATTTATATTTCCCCTTATCAGTGGACATTAGCATTTATAAATGTTAATAAGTGGTTTCGAGATGGAGTTTGGTCCAGTTGGTCAAACAGTCCATTGAAGAGGTCTCCCTAATGAATTAAAGATGAAAGGACCTATATGTAAGTTTTGCTATTGCTACATAGATAACATTAGCATTAACAGGTGTTTACTTACCAGTCAAGAAGAAACGTTGCAAGCTGTCTCGAGCAGTGGAAATGAACCCTCTTGTTTTGCTTCTATTTCCAATACTTCTTTTCTTCTATTGGAGTTAGCATGCTAACCTGCAAGTCCCAGCCTGGGTTGGCCTGTATCATCACTTTCCGATACCAAATCACTGTAGCGTCCAGCCCTGAAGAGGTGGCGTGTATTATAACCTCTTGGCTAGCAAACGCAACGATGGCCAAAGCTTTTGTCAAGACTAGTAAGTAAACGGTTGTTATTGCTAACATGAGCTATGTAGCAATAGCAACAACTTACAAATAGCTCCTTCAAAATTGCCAATAAAATTGGCACCAAAACACTTGTCACATAGTAATGTGAGGCATGGTCAGAACTGTCAAAACTTTGGTGTAGTCCTTTGAATATGACTTAGTTTACCTTCCTTTAAATGGTCTCTGTAGCATCAATAAATACCTTCATTTAAGAAGCAATAACACTATAACACATCAATGTTAAAATATCATAGGATTGCCATTTACCGTAGCAGGTGCTCTCTTCCGGAGCGACTTACTCCATTTAGAAAACACCTCACTGTAGCTCTGTCAGTTATCTGATCAATGTGTAGCTTTGTGTTTGAGTGGCTGAACGCTTGTGTTCGTGCAGTAGATTAGCCAGCGAAGCAAATCCTGGAAATATCATCAAACAGTAGAGGAGGAGAAATCCTGAAAACCTCGCTCACCTACAAACACAAGGTCAGGAAGGACGAAGGAGCTTTGATGTTTCAAACAGGAAGTACAGCCATCAGAGTTCTGATACCAGCAACGATGTAAGGGCAGCTCCGGCCTGATTGGACGCTTTAGATGCTTTTGTCATGTTTGGAGATATTTGCTGTAAATCCTTTGTCTTTTTTTGAAGTAAATATTCAGAAACAAACTGTCCACATATCATATATACACATATAGTTCTTCTTTGTGAAGAGGAACAGCCATTTCAAGCTCAAACTGGGTCAAATTCAGTTTTAGTGTCTGGATTATTTTGACTGTAGCTGCAGGAAAAGTCTCAATTTGGTTAGTCTGATGAACAAACTTGTAACTGATATAATGAAATGAAAAAAGGTTAAGAAGCTGTTGTTCCTTACCAGATGGGGCTTGTTTGAAATGCAAAGACTAAAAGCACTAACCTTATGTCAGAAAACCAAACAGGAAGTTTACTGTGAAACTTATTTTTTTGTTGTATTAAAAAACCCTCCTGCTCAGCTGACTCTCAGAGCTTGTGTCCTTGAACGCACCACCAAGAATTTTTAGTGAGTAGCCTGTTAACATATGTGTGTAAGGAAGTCTGTAGTTTTCCTAGTGTACCAAAATCAACCTGAACAACCACACAGGTTGTTTTCTTCAACCCTCTGATACGACCAGGGACTGTTCAGTCAAGGGTGTACCTACCTTCATAGCCATGGTTACTATAATAACAGTGATGACTTTGTTAGGTTTAGGATAAGATAGTGATTTGTGTTAAAATAAGTACTTAACATTAGATGATCTTTGTTGTCATGGTTACAATAATAACAATGAATGGACATGGATAGTAGAAACAACATGGGAATCGAACACCGCTCTCCTGTATCATATTCATCCATCCACCACGACCTCCTCCTGACATGGACTTTGTCTCTCTTTATACTACGTCACCACACTTTGCCCTTTGCTCCTGTCATAATTACTACGACCATTAGATGTTGCCTAGCAACAAAACAACTATGGGTGATAATAACCTGCTGCACAGATGAACTGTGGGCTCGTTTTTTTTTACAGGTGGGCAGTCTCCAACTGAAACCAAAACCCAGTTAAAAAACTTTCAGCACATTTATAAAAAATGATCAGAAGTGATGTAAGGTCTACATGGTTTATAGCTAATTAGCTAAATGCTATATCACCTGATTTGTCCTTAAAGACATTTGTGAACTATTGTGAACTAACTCTATTGTCCAACAGGGATGATGTCACTTACAAATACACAGAGTCACAGGTAGTTATGGAGGCCTGGTAGAGTGGAATTTTTTTTAGAAAATATACAGAGCACACTGGTAGTTTAGTGGATCTGGAAGTTCTATTTCTGGAACTTTTCCAGAAAATACACAGAGCCGGGAGGTAGACCAGGGTGGCCTGGTAATTTGAAGAATGTCCAGTGATTATACAGAGTTTTAGGTTGTAGTTTGTGACCTGGAGGATGGAATGTTTTCAGGAAATACACCGAGGTGATAGGTAGTTCAGGGACCTAAAGTGTGAAACAGCAATTCCAGAAAATACATGAGACAGTAGTTCAATAGCTGAGAGTGTTCAAACCCAGCAAATACACAGAGCCAGGATGTAATTCAGTGACATTTTGTTATGAGTTTAGTGAGCTTGACAATCAAGGAGAATATTGTGTCTCCAACAGATACCCAGTGAAGGTCCTAGGAATTTGGAGCAGCTCCAGAAAATACACTGTGTCAGTTGGTAATCCAGGGGGTCTGGGACTATAAGGATTCCCCAGCAAAAACACAGAGCCGGGATATAATTCTGAGGCTCTAGTAGATCGTTCAGAGTGTTAGAGGTGCAATATAAATACTCAGATCCAGATGTACCCAGGGCCATGGAAGTTCGGAGCATATACACAGATGTGTGTTGCTCTTAGGGGACAGACTGACACTCTCATGTTGTGCTGCATGTTGAGTCTGATTTATACTAGTATCCAGATCTGGTTTGTTTTCAGGAGGCAGGATGTGGGTTTTGACACAGACGCCTAATTTCCCTCCATCAACGCGTCGGTGGGACGTGGGCGCAGTTACATAATTAACAGCCATGATTCAGGAGCAGAGACGTGCTCCATCATTCACAATGTCCTGGTCGAGATAATGAAGAGAGACGAACAAAAACCAAATCACAGCAGCAGAGAGAAAGTAGCTCTGTGTGTGTGTGTGTGTGTGTGTATGTATGTGTGTGAGATACAATTACAATCACCCACTCACACACACACACACACACACACTGTGCCCAACAGACTGCATGATAAACAATCAGCAGGGGCTTCAGACTGAGCAGTTTCACTCGGTTCAGTCATTTGTCGTTTGCAAGGAGCAACTCGGACACTGTTACCATGACAACCATGATTTACATTCATATGCATCAATCTACTATGCTCTATCCAAAATACATTTCAGGTTGTCTGGGTTGTATTTTCTTTTCCACAATAAAACATGTTTTCAACCTGAGGCCAGTTCATGTTACAGCCTCTGAAGTCTTATTTGAATTTATTGAAATTATTAAAAATGACTCATTGCTCAGAACATTTAGAAACAAGTGGATAAAACCTGTCGACTGTGACCTTTAAATGTTTTTACAGTGAGCAGAAACAGGGCTGCTTCTGTCTGCATGTGTATGTGACATGTACAGCTTCAACCAAACTGATAAAATTATCATTCAAGCTGGAGCATAATTATGTGATTTCTTCATCAGATCATACGTGGTAAAAGTCCCTTAAACTAACTTTAAAATTACAAATCCCTTAAATTAAACTCCAATAACCTTAACTAATAACAATAATGATAAAACTTTGTAGAACACATTCATACAAAAAGATGTAATGAACTGAATTTCAAATAGATGAAACAGATGAAAAAGACAGATGCAAAAAATTATGTTTAAATTAAATTATGTAAAGAAACAAAAACTGGTGTTATTTTATATTTGTTTTATTCTCAATAAGAAAAATCTAGAACATATGCCTCAGCATTAATAAATAACATTACATACTGTAGGTGAGGAAAGTGTTACTCTGAAACCTTCAGGTAGAAGACTAGAGGCTGCAACAGCTGATTGATCTCAGGTGTGTCAGCTGATTGCTCAGGTGCAACTAGCTGCCTCTTAGGATCAACATTTAATGGAAAACACTTATGACTCTAAAAGACAAATGACATGTTTCCCTGTTTAATTCTTACTCGTTTAAAGTCACAATTCACACAACAGCTAGATCTCTGTCTTGAGAATAGAAACTCAGTCTAAAAGTAAAACTGCAAACATGACGAGTTTGAAAGCTGTTGGATAAAATCGGAGTATTTAAATAATAAAACCTGGACTCCTCTGACTGTGAACATGCTGAACTCTGAACATTAATAATGCAGAACATTTGCACATGAGCATAGAGTGATTTGTAGGTGACTGAAGCACCGACTGAAGGAATCAGCCTCTGGGACCTGGATATTATAACATAATAACGTAATTATCATCTGCTCGTTAACTGTGACTTTACTGGCTATGATGGAGGACTGTTCCTGAGCAGAGCCTCAGAAAAACATATATATGATTTTCTTCATACATTTAGTGTTTCTGATGTTTTAAGTGACTGATTTAACAACCAAACAAGAAGAAAACTTGGGGATAAAAAAATAAAAGATTAAAATACAGTGTATGAAATATTAGTTTCAGACATAAGATATCAGCCTTAATGAAGCCACATCAGTCTCTTACAGGCTGCAAGGTATCATGGGAAGCCAGTGAGTTTATTTTTACGGCAGCCTTACTATGAAAAGAAGCTGGATGTGTGTGTGTGAGTGTTTTTCCTCTGCAGTGAGGCGAGAGCAGGAAAATCTGCATCAGAAGAGGGTGTGTCAAAACCATCTCACCTCAGTGTCCATTTAGTTCTGGAGTTTTCTTTTAATAATTAATAATAGTTTAGCAGAAAGAAGGAGAACAATCAACAAATAAATGCAAACAATACACAAGACAACAGGCATCATGTGATGTGCAGTCAGAGTACAGCTGCATCTGACTGGAGGTGTAACGCTGCATTCAGGTGATGCTCGGACACTCCTACTCCCCAAGTTGAGACCTTCTGCCTTTGGTGTGTTCATGTTGAAGTGATGTGTTAAACAGCCACAGAGCAGCAGAAACTCTGACATCTAGAACAGCTGGAAACTCTGCTGCTGCATTTACAAAAACATGATTTCTTTTGAACGCTCCTTTTAACATTATATATATATACATATATACATATATATATGTATATATATATATTAAATGTATGTATAATATACTGTATATACTTTATATAATTAGGAAGTCACATTGATATCAAGATCTCATTTACAAGTGAGACATGAGTACAGAAAAATAAAATGAATAACAAAAAAGACATTAACGGCAGAAAAACAAATTTTCAGTGATTTAAATTAAATACATTCAGATTTGTATTCATACAAACAAGTGGATATGTGTTTATATAAACAGATCAGAGTGTGTATTTAAATGCTTTAAAAAATGCATTAAGATACACAACCATTTTCCACTTTATTATTTTATTTTGAAAAAGTTTTCAATTAAAAAAAAATTGAGCCCAAATTGGTTCTTCCTACTTCAGAGGTGTCAAATCTGAGCTCGAAATGTCTTTGTCAAAATTAATTAAAATATAAAATCTTAAAGGGACAGTTCTACAGTTTGTCTACAGTCTTTGGAAACAGAAGTCAAAGTTTTCTTTGTTCGAGAGACGACAGGAAATGAGGAGAGAGAGAGGACAGATGAGGAAGTGATTAAATGAATTTGTTTGTTAGAATTAAATATAATAAAGTTGAAGTGAAGTCACAAACTAATACAGACAATTAAAATAACTAATAATCTTCTGTGTGTCGTCCTCGTCTGTGAGTGACTCAGTCTAAAAACATCTGTCTTACTGTGTGTGGATGAGGACTAACAGCTGACGACCGGCAGCATCCACACACACACACACACACACACACTGGGGGACGTCTGTGCAACAGTCATTACTGCCAGCTGACAGTCTTTGCGTCTTTGTTGCCATGTCGACTCCACCAGACTAAATTGGTGACCGTGTCCTGGAGCTGCACTGAGTGGATCATTAGAGCAGATCTACATCAAAACCAACACCTACACCAGATCCAAGCAGCTGATGGAGGTTTATTGATGTTTGAGACGATTGTCCTGATTAAAGGAAAACTGATTCTCCCTCTTGTCATTAAATCCCACATTCAGAGATAAACCAACAATGACCTGAGCCTGCTAACAGCAGCTGTGTGTGTATCTGTTGCACTGGGTTCCTTCATCACCAAACACTTCAGCACCAAACATGGATGGACCGAAAATAGTCCCCAACAGATTTCCTCCTGTTGGTTTGATCAAAACTACAGTGAGCAACTGTGTGACGAGATTACAGAGACTTTTTTAAAATGAAACTATATATCAGCGACATGTTTTTAAAGATTTA